GCCCGGCCACCAGAAAGCGAAGAGGGAAACAATAAACACAGCGGGTTCCTGCTTTTTCCTTAGCCTACATTGAGCTAGGCACCTTTCCCTGGGCTCTCCCAGGCTGACCCAGTCCTGCCCCATCCCACCTCCCTGCCAAGGGCTGCTGCCATGGGCCATGCCTGGCCCGTGGGGCTCCAGCAGAGCCAGCCCAGGGAATGTCCCTGGCTTTGAAGCACGCTGGGATTTTTACCCAGATGGGTTTTGCTTCCTTTTTCTACCAAGGGCTTTGCCACGTGTGCCCCGGTGCTGGTTTTGTGGGGCGAGCCGAGGCCAGCTCTTGGGGCTGCTCGATGTCGGCAGCCCTGGTGGGGTGACATCGCACCAGGCAACTTCCCCCAGTCCCCTTCCATGAAAATTGTCTTTCCCCAATTGCAGAACCACGGGTGAACGTGCGAGTGAGTGAACACGTTGGGTGTCTGCTACCACCACCGACAGCATCATTTGCTCAGTGGTAACAGCCCGGAGGCAGTGGCAGGGAGCAATTCCCCCAAATCAGGGGCCATCGATGGCCAAGCAAATGGTGTCCTCGCCAGTGCTGCCCTGGAGCTCTCTAGCACCTCCAGCAAGGTCTTCCCCCAACTGCAGAACCACACTGGTTCTGTGGGAAGGTTGGGAGATACCAGGGTGCTGGGAGCTCCAGCCAGGATGGGCTGTCCTCCTCTCTGAGCACAGCCAGCACCAGCCCCTCTGAAGCAGGGAAGAACAACCAAGAAATGACCAGTTGGCTTCACCATTTCCTAGGCTTCAAGGCAAGAAAGGTTCCTGGAGACATCTGTCCCTGCCTGTACGTTGCTGGCCCTGTTGAGCCCCAGCACTGCAGTCAGGGTACAGTTTTGGAGAGACCAAGCTCTGTGCAGCAGCAGAGCTCCCCCAGGTCAAGAAAAAGTGATCCCAATGGATGTCCCCAAAGAGCCCAACAAGGAAAATGCATCCCTTGCCCGAGAGGCAGCTGGCAGCAGGTCTACAGCATCCCCCATGCAAGTCAACCAGTGACCTGCTTTTCCCTCCCAGTGTGGGTACCGGCGAGGTGGGAACTGTCATGGTGACTCTGGGGCGTTAGAAATTAGAAAGACATTAGAAAACGGATGGGAAAATGCAATCAAAAAAGGTAAGCAGAAACAGGGTGGGCAGGACTGGGCAGGTCCCACGCCGCAGTCAGCCTGGCGCAAGCCTCGGCTCGCCCCGCCCCGCTGCACAGCTCACGCCACCGCGCTTGGGCTGGTTGGTCTTGTCGGCAGCAGGACTTGGGGTGCCGTGCCACAACCCTTCAAACCCTCCGGCCCAGGGGACCGCAGGGGGACAAGGAAGAGGAGGAACCTACCTGCTGCCCCATGTCCTCTGCTCTGGGCAGTTTTCTGCTGCTGTCATCTTTTCCCAACTCATCAGCCTGTTCGTGCAGACTCAGGCTCCCGTGAATATCCGACACTTCATCTGCCGACCCCAGTCCGGTCTCCTCCAGGCAGATGCTGGCTCCTTCCTGCACCAGCTCTCCTGGGATGCTGGGACTCGACCCTCCCAGCACCCGATGGCTCAGGAGCTTCCTCTGGCGGCTCGTGCTCCCGGGAGCAGTGCCAGCTCCTGCAGCGAGCCTGCCACGCTGGAGCCCTTGCCCGCCCGCCTGCTGTCGCGAGTGCCGGAGCTGGCTGGTGTGTTCGGGGCTGGGGTGGTGGAGCGGCTCTGCTCCCCACCCTTGCTGCTCTGGGCACCCTTCTGGACGGCTCCGTTCTGCAGGCCACCCGCGGGGGCAGTCCCATTGCGAACCCGCTCCCGCTGGAGCCGGTCGCTGCTGTGCTCCAGCTCCTCTGTGCTCGGCTCCCGGCTGCCGTCGGGCAGGGGACCGTCCTGCTGCTCGTGGAAAGTGGGTTTCTTCCCGATGTGTGTGACACGAAACCTGGAATGGGGACAGGATGGATCAAAATCCCTTCCTTCCTCTCCCCCAGCTGTATTTCCAGCTTGCCTGCACCTCCAGCCTCGGTTCTCCTCTCTCTGTAATGGACTGGTGCTGACCTCCAACCTTTCAGACCCATTGAACACCACTGACCCCCACTCTAGCCATGCCCCCACTGACTTAACCCCATTTTTCCCTTCGTTTTTGGCAAAACAAACAGAAAGAGAAGGATGAAAAGGTCAATCCAGATGCTGGCTGGTGCAGATCCTGCCAGCCTGTCGTGCATGCGGTGAGATGGGTCACAGCTCTTAGAAATGCTCCGAGATGCAACCTGGACAAACAGGAGCTTGTACAGAAATTCAGGTGTTGATTCAGAAGGTGAAATGCAAATGGTCTGAGCCTGGCAAGGAAGGGACGGCCATGCAGAACCATGTGGATGTTACACCAGAGACCAACCACCATCAGGGGAACAAAAGCCAGCGTTTTTGGCAGGCAGTGCACCCTAAGTGAAGGCAGGGAGAGGGTTTTGGTAGAGCAGGCTGTGTTTGGGTACAGGGATCAAAAGCCAGGGAAGTTGGCTAAAATCTGCCAGAGCACCTGACACCATCCCCTGGAGTGATGGATGGTACCTAGATGGTTCACCAAGGCTCCACCATGTACCAGGTAACAGCTCAGAGCTCCAGGGTAGGCAGGAGAACAATTGCAGAAGTTGGTCTGACACCCACAAAAGGTGCATTTATAATCAGAGGTGATGCAATATTGCACCTGGGGAGAAGTTAGGGATCTACCATAACTTTGGGATTTGTGAGGGGTAACGTGTAGGCAAAGCCTAAAAGTCTGAATTGCAAGCAAGCTGGTTGTGACTAACGCTGTGATTCCTCTTCATAAGCAATGCAAGCCACTGCTGGACCAGCAGACGGGAAATCTCTTCCATGGTGAGCTGGTGTCCACCAGCCAGAGAACTCGGATCCCACTACAGAGACTTCATGCAGCCCATGACTCACCCAGCAACCGCTCTCCCTGCACTTGAGTCACACACGAAGAAGCTGGCCCTGGCTCTGCTGAGGTTCAGCTGCAATTTCAGCAGCAAAGTTCAAGCACTGCTGGGGTTGAAAGAAGAACAAGACCCAAAGGTCAAGCAGATGGCAGTTCGGCCATCCTGAAGGAAGAAGCTGAGAAGAAAGGTCCAAGAGGTAAGAACAGATCCCAGATGAGAAGCCAGAGATGAAGGAGACAACCACCAAACTGAGGATTGGGCTACAGACCCCTCAGCATTGCAGTCAGAAGTGCTGCCCATGAGTGGAAGTCATGATTGGAAGGGTCAAGAAGAGAAGTGCTCCAGCTCTGGACAAGGTACCCACAGGACTGCTCGGGTCAGGTCCAGCAGCGGCAAATGTGACCTTTCAGGCCACAAATATCTCCAGATATTTGGAGACATGGCACCAGCACTGCGATTCGGGAAGACCAGAGAACATTCCAGTCACGAAGAGGGACGGGGAGGAGGCACGAGTGACAGGATCATTTCTTGGTAATGCTATTGAGCAATGTCAGCCTGGAAGAGCCGGGAACGGATTCAAAGGAGCAGGCAGGTTTCGGACTGGAGGGGGCACAAGAGGTAACGTAACCAACCTCTGGATGGTGAGGGGAAAGGCAGGAGAGCGTTGGCTGTCTGCCTTGTCAGCATTGCTAAGGCGTTTGATTCAATAGGACATGACACGCTGCAGCTGATCGGGCTAAGGATGGAGGGTCAGACGCAGATGCTTTGGTAGATGAGCTCTGCCACTGACAACTGGCTTAGGGAAAGCCCTAAGATGGTAAATCATTCAATAATATGAGAGTACAGATCATATAACCCTGATTACCTCAGAAGTGTAGAATAATTTAGGTGGGAAAAGCCCTTAGAGGTCTCCAGTCCAATCCTCTGTTCGAAACTGGGCCACCTCCCACCCTCCATCAGATTGCCCAGGACCCCGTCCAGTCAGGTTTTGGAGATCCCTCCACTCCTCTGGGTCCTGTCCCAGGGCTGCACCATTCTCAGGCTGATAGTTTTTCCTTAAGTCTTATCCGCATTTCTTTTATTGCAACTTGTGGCCATTTCCTTTTGCCCTTCCCTGTGCACCTCTGAGAAGAGTCTAGCTACACCTTCATTTAAACTCCCCCCACCCCTTTGAGTAGTTTTAGAGAGCAATTAGATCCCCCCCTTAGACTTCTCCAGGCTAAATAAACCCCATTCCCTCAGCAGCTCCTCACACGCCACGTGCTCCAGCCCCTGATGGTCTTGGTGGACCTCCACGAATCTCACTTCTTTCCACTCCTTTAGCAATGGGCCCATGCCTACCAGCTGGGGACCAGCCTTGGCCAATGAGCTGTAGGTAATAGGGAAGGGTGATGGACTCTCAACCACTCTGTCCAAAACAAAAGCAATAGCAAAAAAAAGAGAGGAACAAGACCTGAGGATCGCAACAGAAGAGCTGGGTTAAAGGAGCGCTTGTATGTAGGATCAGTCATGAATCGCGGTATTTTGTGCAATGAGGATATTCACAGTAAGTAAGACACAGCAAGGGCAGTCCCAGAAAAGTCATCCAGGATCTGAAAGAGCAAAGAGGGACCAGCTTGGAGACGAGAACCAGAATTTGGAGGTAGGTTGTACGTCATAGGCACATAGGCCCCTTAGCAGTTGGACTTCACACCAAGGAGGTTTGGGAAGCAAAAACTTTTAAAATATAACCTTGGAGAAATGTAATGACTGTCCCGTGGAGAAGGCTGATGTGACACGGGATATTAAGCATAAAGAGAGGAAACCAAGATTTGAGGGAAAGTGCCTTTAGGAAAGAAGACCACCTTCTCCAGCACTCAGAGGTGAGTGAGAGCAGACTGAGAAGAGCATGGACGAAGGACACAGAGGAGTGGATGGAGCTGGGTACCGGCCAGGGAATGAGATTAGCCATGAATATGCAATTGTGCAGAGATCTGGCTTACCAAACACCACCCCTTAAGCCAAGGACAGCTGACAGCAACGGGCAAAGAGGAAGCCAGAAGCTGTCAGTCTCCAGAAGGTGTAATCTTATCTGGAGTTCAGCGTGGGGAGGTCCGTCATGCCTCTCCCCTTTACCAGCTGCCCATAAAGCCCCCAGTTCACCTCCCTGCTGAGACTCCTAGCTGTGATGGTGGAAAAACCCACACCCCCTGATGCCCACTCTGGCTCAACATCACCATGAAAGGACTCTCTGGACCACAACGTGGAGTTTCACCAAGGCTTAGGCCCTGAATGAAGACCTGCTGCAGGATCTGAGCACAGCAGAGCTTTGTGTCTCACCGGGGTAGCCATCCAGGGAGCAGCCATTGCTTGTCACCCTGCCCCAGTCACCACGGTGGTACAGAGCTGAGCCCTGGAAGACCCTGCTAAAGGTCTTGTGGATGCTTTCTGCTGGGGAATGGGGCAACCTGGGCAAGCCTGCAGATTGCACTAAAGGTTACTGACCATGCAGAGACCACAGGCAGCTCAGGAAGTCCCTTGAGGTGAGATCAGGTGGGGACTGGAAGAGTGTTTGTGGGAAGTATTGGGTATACTCCCCTATTCTTATATTCCTCCTGTGGCATCTAATTACAGTCATCATTGGAGGCAACAACCTGGAGGAGCGTAGCCACTCTTTCATTCTGAAGGTGGTGGCTGATAACTTGCACCTGGGTCCTGCCGTCACCTCCTCCCCCTCCTAATGAGATCCCTAAAACTGGGGTCACTGCCCCTGTTGGGCAGCAAGAGCCCTGCTCGCACGTAGCTGGGACAGCAGGCTTTGAAAGGACGTGGATTTGGGGCTCTGCCCAGCACTGAGTCAACAGGACAAGCCAGGCTTGAGTCAACTTCCCGGAGAAGGAGGAGAGAAGCCACCGGTGCGTCATGGCCTGCCACATACCACAGGCATTTCCAGGTGCAGGAAGCACCTGGGTCCTTGGGACTCCCAACTGCAGAGCTACTACTGCACAGCGTCTAAATGGGGAAGAGCAAGAGGGTGCCTGGCGTGGGGGGAACTGAGAAGACTCTCCGCAGCGCTTGGTCCATCAGAGCAGATGGGCCATGTCTGGCAAAGCTCATTTAAGTACCTGCCCACTGAGAAGACGGTGGTCTCTCCAGGATGCATCCTGCCTTTGCCATCCTTGGACCGTCCTTGCCGATGCAGCGGGTGCCTCTTCCTCTTGCTGCAGTGGATGCAGGGGGCCTGCGTGGAGCCCAGGTGCACTGTGTGGTGATGTGGTGGGCCCCCATCCTGGCTGTTACGGTGAGGACAAAGGCTGCAATAGGAGAAGGACATGACAGGTCGTGTTATCTGGAGGAGTCTTCCCAACTTTGGTGCAGCCTCGGTGTGGCAAGCCCTGAGAAGCAGCAGCTCTGGAGGGGACCTCCTGTGAGGACAGGAATGAGAAGGACTATTCCCCTTGACAGTGGGGTGAAGTACTCATCGCAACCCTCGGGGGAGCAGGACTTCTTTGGGGAAGATGCTTTATAACAAGCTGGAAGGGGGCTGGCTGCAGAGTCTGCAGACCAAGATGATACCCAAAGGCTGCTTCTCCCATACTCTGCAAAAGTCACAAGCTGGTATAGGCTTCCCTCACCTGGGCACTGGCACTGGGATGTCCCCTTCATTGTCCCCCAGCATCTCCTTGAGGGCCTCCGCATTTGCTGAAGAGAGAGAAAAAAGGGAATGTGTCAGCCAAAGCAGTCAGCAAGTCTCTGGGCCAGCCCTAGGAAATGCTTACCTTCATTTTGGATGATGCATCTCACAATTTTCTCCACCGTGTCCTCGTTCAGCTCCTCCTCTTCATCTGAAAAAGAGAAAACGTGGCACTGAGGGCTTCGATTCGGACACTCAGCTCACAGCCCCTCCCCAGGAGCAGCCACATCGACAGAGAGGTCGGAGAAGCCTTGTATCCCCCATCACGCCCGAAAGCCCCTGGGGAACACCGGATCCCTCGCCCTGGAAAAGAAATGGCTAAAACAGCGGCCGTGTGTGCAGGGAGAGGGGGGTTGCATTGCTCCTTCAGAACTGGGGAGCATCGCGTGAAACGAGTGGGAAGCAGGTTCAAAACAAGTTGAAGGAGAAGGCTCCTCATGGGGACAATCCAGCCCTGGACTGGGGGTGCAGGATGGGTGCAGGATGCTGCGGGTGCTAAAAGTCTCCAAGGGTAAACGGGACAAGTTCACAGAAAAGAAACCCACTGGGGCCTATTACATACGGAGAAACCATCTCTGGTGGAGAAAGCCCCAGAGCTACACGCTGTTAGAAGCTTAAAAGAGCATGCTGGGGAAACTTGGCTCGGTGTCTGCTCCATTGTGGTATTCATCCCCAGCATTCATCGCAACCTGCTTCTGGCCACTCTTTGGAGGCAAGAGGCTTGGCTGGCTGGACCTTCAGCCCAGTCTGCAGTTATATGTTCCTGTGAGCAGGTCAGAGTTGTGGTCTGGTAGGCAGCTGCCTCAAAGAGCATGGTCAGGGGCTGCCACTGCGCTCCCGGAAGCCTACAGAGATGTGTCCCTGAGCTGTGGCAACTCCAGCGGGCAAAGGCAATCCTGGAAGGTTCAGACGCTGTCTCCATGTCATGTGCAGCTCAGTCATTGGAGCCAGAGGAGCATATCTGAGGATGCCTGGAAGCTCCTGCTGCATCCGTGGGCAAGCTGAGGGAGCCACGTTTCCCTCCCGTGCACGAGAAGTGGCAGCAGGAGGTGCTGACCCTCCTGAGCACTGCCGATAGCATAGAGGAGCCAGAGGAGTCACGTAGCACCATTTGGCTGTTTTCAGGCAAGGAAGCAGCCGGAGGAACGTGTCTTCTCCATTTCAGCAGAGACTCATGCAAACACTAAATGACAGAACTTGCTTGGACTGAGCTCTGGCTTGCACCCACGCTCGATGCTGCAGTGACTTCCCAATCCTACTACCCAAGAGCCGCTTACGATGGCCTGAAGCGATGGAAAAACCCGGTCCCCTTCCAGCGTGGGGCAGAGATCCCAAGGAAACACCCCTATTCCTCTGGCCTGCATGAGCACAAGAGGGACTAGAAAAGCCCCTGACATGACTGATAGCGAACACCACGCTGGCCCCATGCCGGACCTCTTAACGCCAAAGGGGCAGAGGGACAGCTCGTGCCCTGGCTTGGGATACTTTCCTTGTAGGGAACACGGGTTATAATTCAGGCGCTGGGGATTCGGCAGGTCCTGGCTGTTGATCAGAATTATCTTTTGGTGGTAACGCCGCTTTGGGAAGGGCCAGATGCTGGCTCCCACCTCCCTGGCACCACCAGCCTTCACCAGCCTGTAGAGCCAGCAGATCAGAGGGCTCTCCAGGCCGCACACTCCCAATCCCCAGGGAACACCGCGCTGCTCTCGCCACCCCATCCCTTTTTTTCCAACCCAGCAGCACGTGATGGGTAACCCTCCCACCCCAGCCCTCACCCCAGAAGCACGTTTAAGGAGCATCGATCCACGCCAGCGAAAGGCAGCGCCCGAGCCCCCAGCAAGCCCCCGTCGCCCCAGCACTCACTGGCCTGGAGCTCCGCCAGCACATCTTTGTTATCTGGGTCGAGCTCATCCCGGAAAGTCCGGCACCGGTAACCCTTCTTCTTCAGGACATGGCATATCAGGAAACCCACCAGTCCCATGATGAAGAAGACGAGGACGAGGAGGAAGACCATAGACAGGCTGTGCTGGGGGTCTGACTCCCCATCGTTGGTGCTGTTCTGGTCTGACATGCGGATCTAGGAGAAGGGGGAAGGCGGATCAGAGACCCTGGTGCTCACCCCCCGCCAGGCTCCCCGTGCCCTTCCTCCTCCTCCTCCTCCTCTCATCTGCCTTGGGCAAGAGCCAGCTCCCGGCTCGGGGTGGGCTGCCAAGG